TTATATTTACATAAATATATATATATATATAAAAGTTTACCTATTTTAAATTCAAGTTTGTAGGTATGATAGGATACTGTCCACAAATTAACGGACTAAGTGATTTTATGACTGGAAGACAATACTTGCAACTTCACGCAGCACTTCGCGGTGTTCCATATGAAAGTATCAATGAAGAAGTAAACAAATGGCTTGATGTATTAGGTAAAAATATAATTAAAAAACAAATTTCTTGCATTGTTTAAAATAATTCAAAGTATATTAATGCTAAATAATCTTTAATAATAAAATTCAATTGTAGATATGTTGGACTTTGAGAATATGAAAATTGCTCATTATCCTTGGGGAATTCAAAGAAAACTTTGCATACTGCAAAGTCTTACCGGCGATTTACCGATGGTATTTATGGACGAGCCTTCCGCTGGGATTGACATAATGACTAGACACGCAATCTGCGAAATTTTGCATCAGATACGGGAGATGGGAAGATCTATATTAATCACTACGCATAGGTTAATTCATACAAGCTTAATAAGTAAAATACATATTAGATTCGATTTTGAATTTCAGCATGCGAGAAGCAGAAGCGATGTGTTTGCGCGTTGGTATTTTAGTTAACGGCCAATTTACTGCAATTGGATCTTGCGAATATTTAAAGGCAAAATTTGGCCGGAATTTTATATTAAATATTAAAATAGTACCAGGATACTGGTTTACAAATCTTGAAAAGATTAAGAAAATCATTAATGAGACTTTTCCAATAATAAGATTTAAAGACAGTTACTTGGTAAATGGAACTAATTTTATTATTCGATAATTTGAATGATTCAAATATGTTTAAAAGATTTTGATACAGTATAAACTAGGAAAAAAATTTATAAATGTAATAATTTTTCATCACGGCAGGGTGTTCTTAAATACGAATTGGAGAGTGGGACTTCGTACAGCTATGTGTTTGATAAACTCGAAAAGCTAAGACGGAGATATGTGTGGATTACAGATTTCTCGGTTACTCAGCCATCAATGGATGAAGTATTCTTAACTTTAGCAAAGAAGCAAAGGGAATCTCATAAGAAGTTAACATTTTACGAAAGACTACGTTCTTGCATTATAAGTATATGTAACAAATATAAATAAATTTTGTTATCACAGTTCTTTGTTATAGCAGTTCTTTGTTAGCATATAACTGTTTTTATTACTGCATAAATTATTTGTATATTTTGTGCTTGTTTAAGCAATATTAGTATTCATTTTAAATTTTATCCAGTAATATTATCTATCGGAATACATTACATTATGAATTCAACACTCGATATTAACATATACTTACTCGTATGAAGTTTTATTTGCAAATATTAATATTTTCAATATAATTATAACTAGTTAAGTATACAAAAAAATAAATAAAAGTACAATAAAATTGATCACTGTTTTCTGACGATTAATGATAATATATGTATAACAAGTCTCTACTTTTTATTTGATTTTAATTAAATCGTATATCTATATATTCAAGGTAAATACCAGTTGCTAGTATCCATTATTCATTGCACTTAATATATTTATTAATTCAACGTACTAAATATAACAAATATAAAATTATAAATGAATAAAACTGTACATTCGATAAAATAATTCGTGTTTATGTACACACATATTATTCAAAGAAAGTGATGTTGACAATCAGATCTGCAATACTATAAACTATCTCACCGATGATCGTTATGTCAGTATTCTGCAATTATCCTCGAGACTTATCAAGCCTTCTCAAGCACAAATTATTATTCATTCACAAATATATTATTCAATACTTTGTTTAATTTATTTTGATAAGATTATATAAGAATATAAAGAACATTTTGCATTTTTCCTTAATAAAAACTAATTATACTTATAAAAAATATGTATTAAAGAAGAAATTCTTCGCTTTCCCCTTACAATGATGCATTTAGAAAACCCAGAAATGTTACTTTGCAGTTTACCGATTACTGATAAATTACCAATTGTAACTGAAATATATTTCTTTAATATCTACAATGTTTATATTTATGTTTTATGTAATATGTTTAGATTAAATTCTAAATTTTGCAGGATGAAGCACAAGGAGAAGATGTCATATTTATTAACAATAAATAAAAATATTATCTCACATTTATAAATTATTTAAAGTTAAAATTATATTTAGCTAAATTTAGATAAATTTTTACATACATTCAAAATAAAATATAAAATATATACATCTAACGTAATAAATAATAAATCGAATTATCTGCATTAAAGCTGCTTACATAGACATTTGTAAATTATTTAAACACGTTGTATTGTGACTCTTTTGCGCCTTTCCAATAAATGATTAATTGCAACACAGAGATTGTGGCGTGGCAATGTACTTCTATCATAAACATTGTTAATAGTATTATATAAAACGCGACTATCGATCACGCGTGTGTCTCGAGTGACGTTCAGTCATCCTCTTCCTCTTTCGCTCGAAGAAAAGTATGATAATGCATGAAAGTATATTCCAGTGCCGAGACACGCGCCCATTTACGCGATTGTAAATAAATGAGGCACATTGTTATCTCTTAACAGTGAATTGTTCGAGCGAGCGCGTATTAATCGGCCCAACCTTTGAACCGCACAAGAGAGAAGTCTCCCTGCGAAAAATCTATTCCCCTCACCTCCCACTCGTAGCGATAACCCATCAACCCTTCGTCGTTCCGACCACTTAGACACCCGTGCGTGCACCGTGACGTCGATTATACCGGTCATTAAATCTTGATGCAACTAGGAACCGCATCGAGGCCGGCAACACCTGACGCGGCCTCTAATCGAAAGGAGACAATCGCGACCGAGTCACGGAAGGAGGCACGACAATGTAATTACGAGCTGTAATGACACGAAATCTGGATATTAATGGCACCGACACTCCGTAGTCAAGTCTATCTTTGTGTCGAAAATCACGAACAAAATTTAATTTGCTTAAATCTCACTGTCTTGTTCGAGACATCGCGCGAGGAAATAAATCTTCACGAAATTCTCAACATAATCATAGAGCAACATCGCAATTCAGCTGTTTGCGTCATAATAATAGTCTGTGTGATCAAAGTAATTTTTTCGCTATTGTAAAGTCGCTTCGATAATATTTCTTTTTTTCTGACGACGTTTTATCTCTCCATCTATGTATTCTTTATGATATTTTATGTAATATTTGACATTCTCAGAAACTACTTATTAAGTAGTTATTAAGTAATTATAAGAAACAAAGGAATATGAATTAGTTCTAAAAATACATAAAACATTTCCTAAGTATTCGTCTTTGTTTAAGGAAAAATATCGTCATCATATTAAGCATCGCTTTTCCCCTCAATAATATCATAACATTCGCTAATTAATGCTATTTATTGATAGACAAAGAAAAATGATTTTACTAAAGTATTTAAAAATATAACTAAATATACAGATCTGAAAATAATTTTGCTTGGATTATCAAAATAATTATGTATAACGTTTAAAATTGGTTAGAACGTTAAAACTTTTTGCAGCATTGCCATCAATATTTAAACGTTCTACATAATTATTTTAATGATCCAACAAAATTACTTTCAGATTCTGTTCTATCTAAATTTTTTATATTTCCAAAATCATTCGCGATATAAATAAAGCCGAAGTAATAAGCAATTAATTAATTTTGTGTGTGTGTGTGTGTGTGTGTATGTGTGTATGTGTGTATGTGTGTGTGTGTGTGTGTGTGTGTGTGTACAGCTGTGCGCGATTATGTGTCATGAACATTGT